GAAAGCGAATTTACCCACTGGGCTACGCAAGCAACGCCTGAGAAAGAGGAGCAAACCATGTTGTTCGAGAGTTTTCCCTCAGTGGTTACTACGTTGTGTTTAAGTGGCGGTTCCTGAGTAAATCCTCTGTCATTATTATGTTCCGATGTAGAAGAAGTTTTTTTCCCTCAACCAGGCCATCTTGTTTATTAATAGAGGAATGTATCATCTAATCTTTCTTACCTCTGGTTTAAGTTGTTCACTCCTCTGTTTCCTCTTTGTCACTTGATTCGGGTTGGTTTCTTGGTTACTTCTCCTTGCAGATTTCCTTCCTATGGCTTCCCTGATTCGGTTTTCACGTCAAATCATCTGCATTGGTCATCTTCCTGCGAGGAAAGCGTCATTAAGCTTTTTTAAATAAATAACTAAACTGAAAAGAAATTTCACAATTTCTTAATTTTTTATCTACAGTAACAACAATTTTTTTTTTTTTTTTTTTTAATTCAAGACATTTATTACTATAATTACAAAGAACTACTTAAAAAGAAAATAATTACAAAGTTCTAAACAACCGCAATAACGGACATACTTACAATTATCTACATTTCACAATTATATACATTACAGCCACAAAACAGCCGCGCAATTGCCGAAAGAGGCTTATTTTACAAAGAATTAATTAATACTTAATTATGTAGATAAAAGAGAGATTAACACTTAATATTTACAGTACGCTCTGAAATAAAAACAAAAACATAACCACACATACAAAAATAAAAAATACAAAACAAAAACAAAAACAAAAAAAAGTGTCTAATAAAAGATTACATTTTTAATTACATACTCACGAACTTAATTAAAGGGGAGAAATGTCTTTTGGCCATTTTTCATAAAAGGTTTCTAATTTATTATTCTTAGTGGAAATATATTTTTCAACTTGGTATTTAATTCTTACTTTAAATTTGAAACCTTCGATGTTTGGAAGTACCTGTTTCTTTCTGCAATCCCATAAATACAATTTACCAATTAATATCAGATAATTTAACAAGGGGCATTTTGACATCGTTATTCCAATTATAACCTCTCGTAAACACAACCCGTGAAATTCCTTTGTTATTGTTAAATAATACTGTTCAACATTTTTCCAGAACATATTTGAGTGCTGACAGTAAAATAGAAAGTGACATAATGTTTCCTGTTCAGTCTTGCAAAAAGTACATTTGTCATGCTGGAGATATCCAATTTTAAAAAGTTTTGCATTAGTGTAAAGTATTGAATTTAAAACTTTATATTGAAAGGATTTGACGTAAGGCTCCTGCGTTGTCAGGTGGGGAAGGTTGTAAGCAATTTTTAAGTCTTCGTCAGATAAGCCAAAATCATGTTTTAAATTCTTTGCATTACTAGGTAATTGTGCTTTATTTGATATTATTAAAGAGTAGTAGTCTTTCGTTTTCTTTTCCGCTATGTCAAAAATCTCATTCCCCTTTGTAAAATAAGTATTTTCTGTAAAGGTAGTATACTCTATTGTTTTCAGAATAGAAGGAATTGCATGCCTGAGACCTGTCCATGTAAGAAAATTAGCTTTCTCAATTATGTTATTGATTGCATTGAAGGATTCTATATTGTCGAGATTGAACAAGAGATCTTTAATAATACATATCCCCGAGTCATAATAAGATTTATAAAAGACTGGTTTTCCATCTATTCTTATATCTTTGTTATTCCAAATTATACAGAGCCGTTCTTTGTTAGCTAAAAAGAGATTTCGAAATTCTAACCAATATTCTAAGAGTTCTCTGTAGAAAACCGAGTTGATTGAAAGATCGTTCATTGCATAATTGCATTTAAAAAGTAAAAGACCACCAACACTACGTAGGAGATGAAACAAGTAAAATTTCCACGTACTTTCATTATCGCTGAAAACACGTTTTAGCCAAGCTAGTCGTACAGCTTTGACCAAGCTTTCAATATCTGTCATTTTTATGCCACCGTCTTCATAACTGTTTATTGAAGAGAGCCTCGTAACTTTATCCTTTCCATTCCATAAAAAGGAGAAAATTATACCATTCACTTGTTTGATGATTTTACTTGGAGGTGAAAGAACCGAAGATATAAAAACTAGTTTTGGAATAAGTAATGATTTGATTATAGTTACTTTACCATAAATGGACAGTCCTCTAGATGACCATATATTTGTCAGCTTCTTTATGCTGTCAACTTTCTCTTGAAAGTTTTTTTCGTAAAGTAATGATTGGTCATATGTAAAAAAGGTTCCTAAAGCTTTTATGGGTTCACTGGGCCATTTAATACCAAAAGGTTTTTCATCTTTTCTTTTAAGCGAACCAATCCACATTCCTTCTGTTTTAGAGCTATTTATCTCCAACCCACTGAAGTTCTTAAATACTTCTAATTCTTGAAATAACGTTTTTGCAGAACTTTCATCAGACAGGATTGCTGTGGTATCGTCCGCGTATTGCAATAGCTTGGCTTCGTAATTTTCTATTTTAATTCCTTTGATATCAGCATTTTGACGAATGGAGATTGCCAAGCTTTCAACAGCTAAGATAAAGAGGTAAGGGGACAAAGGATCACCCTGCCTCACACCACGTTCTAAAGTAAAATAGTCTGATGCCATTCCATTATTTATTACACAGCTTTGAATATTTGTATAAAACATTTTGACCCAATTTATAAAATTGGGGCCAAAATTAAAAGCCTCAAGGCAACTGAAAAGATAATGCCATTCTAAAGAGTCGAAAGCCTTTTTAAAGTCAATGAAAATCAAGATACCTGGAATATTCTTACTGTCTGTAAATTCCATTATATCGAAAATTGATCGGATAGTCTCACCAATATAACGATCTTCAACATAACCTGTTTGATTATGATGTATGATATTCGGTAGAACTTTCTTTAATCTTAACGCAATCACTTTTGAGATGATTTTTGCATCCACGTTAATAAGAGATTGGCCTCCAATTTTCAATGAGAGTTCGATCTTTATGTTGCTTTTCTATAAGAGTTATGATTGCTTTTCTTTGAGAGCTTGACATTTCACCGTGGTCGAAACACTCTCACACACTCCATAAAAGGATCACTAATTAATTCCCAGCAACTTTTGTAAAATTCTATTGGTATTCCATCATTACCAGGAGATTTGTTATTCTCAAAACTGTTAAGGATGGCTGTAATTTCTTCAACAAATATTTCTCCCTCACAAGATTGTTTTTGTTCTTCTGATAATCTTGGTATATTCAAATTATTTAAAAATTCGTTTCCATTTTCCCTATCCTCATCTGTTACGTTTGATTTGTACAAGCTATGGTAAAAGCGTTTTTGTTCGTTTAGTATCCCAAAAGGATCAGATGTAATGGAACCACTTATTAGCAGTTTTCTTATATGTTTTTTGACGTGATTACGTTTTTCTAAATTTAGAAAATATTTTGTGCTTCTCTCGCCATGCTCGTGCCATCGTGCCCTTGCTCGAATAATTACACCCCTTGTTTTTTCCTCATAGTAACTTTCTAGAATTTCTTTTGCTTCATTTAGAGTATTTAGGTTAGAGTCGGAAGGGTCCTGTTCGAATTTTTTAGTCGCTTCCTCGTATACTTGTTGTAAGTTTTTTTCCATAGCAGATCGTTCTTTGGCTTTCTTTTTCGAGAACAAAATAGCATGCTTCCGAATATTATACTTAAGCCAATCCCAGATGCACCGTTTGTCTGATAAATTATCACTTCCTGTTGTTTTCCAAAGTGGAATATTTTGTTTTAATTCTTCCAGATAATTCGGATCTTCGAGAAGAGAGACGTTCATTTTCCAGAAACCGGGCCCCTTTGAGTTTTGATTGGAGTCGGTTAGATTCAACTCAATTGCTGCATGATCAGTTTTTATAGCTGGAATGATATCGGTTGTATTTACAAAATCCTGTAAGTTGTTTGATATCAGCCAGTAATCTAAACGACAGAAAATTGGTGGAGATTTTTGGCTCCAAGTGTAACTTCTAGATTGCGGATTTTTAATTCTCCACACGTCGACAAGGTCCAATTCATTTTGTAAACATTCAATATTATCAATAACCATTTTTCTAGGAACCATAATGCCACCTTTCTTATCCAGCTTAGGGTCAAGAGGACAGTTAAAATCCCCTCCAATGATTATATTTTCTTCACAATCTAAGTCTTCTGTCTGTAGCACTCTATGTAGGTTTAGGCTGCTGACTTTATCTTTGTTTGGCGCATAAATATTAACTAAAATGTACACCTTATCCTGAATGCCTGCCTTCAAAATAATAAATCTTCCCTGGGGATCAACAATGGATTTTTGGATTACACAATTAAAATTATTCCTAATCAATATCGCAACCCCACATGAATTTGGACTACCATGTGAGAAAAATGCTTTACCACCCCATTCATTTGCCCATTGTTTTTCTGAATCCTCTTTTGAATGCGTTTCTTGAAGGAATATTACGTCAGCTTTTCTTTTTCGGCACCAGGTGAACATAGTTCTTCTTTTATGAAAATTACTTATGCCCCTTACGTTCAAAGAAACTAATTTAAATAAATCTGCCGTGTCAGTTGTGTTTTATAAAAATGCATATATTGTTTGGGATTAGTACTTTCCAAAGTTTAACGAAGCATTCAAAATGAGTGAAACAAAAGACATTTTCTCCTCCAACTGAGAAAATAATAAAACAAAACAGAAACACATAGTACATTTACATATAAACTGATATTAAACAAAATTCTTAACATCTAGTGGACGTAGATTCACTGTTCAGTTTGAAACCGATCATGGAATTAATACATTAATAATTTTTTGCCATTTTACAATAATAGGGAAGGTCTTTAGTTTCTTTTCCTCTGTATATTTGGCCATTGATTATCAATTTATCAAAATTAAAGAAGGCTTTTTGCTTATCCTGCTTGGCCTTTTTAAGCACTGGATAAAGTTTTCGATGAATTTCTTCAATTTCTTTCGGGAAATCATCTGAGAAACCGATGTTGGTTCCTTTTAAGTTCTTATAGAAGGAGCGAACATATTCTTTGTCCTGATAATGACTGAAACGAGCAATAATTGGTTTGGGATAGGACGGAGCTCTTAGACTAGAATTATTAGTGGAGATTCGGTGAACTCGCTCAAAGCGGATATCGTTGACTTTATCTGCCGGAATTTTCAAATTAGCGACGAAGACACTTCTTTCCAGCTCTTCAGTATTTTCATCCTCTTCTTCCCCGACATTGAAAATTCTTACATTCTCACGTCTTGTATAGGCTTCCAACTTGATGTTTCTGCGTCTTAGCGCTCCAATGTCTTCGAACAAGAAGTCAATGTCTTCATTGTTTTCTTTTACTTGTGCAGAAGTTTCTTTCTGACTTTCTTGTAGACTTTCAATTTCTTCCTCGGCAGATTGCAAATATTGTTTTAGATTCTTTACTTCATCTCAGCTTGCGTATTTCATCTTTTAGTAGTGCAATTTCACCACACGCTGTTAAAACTTGATCTAGTTTAGTGTTCATTTCCTCGAGGCGTGCTGACATTACTCCACCGACGCCCACATGTTCATCATCTTCATCCGTTTGCGAGCCATTTTCTCTCAGCCTTTTGCTCGGATTCTTGTCCGCTTTGTCCTTCCCCATTTCTACGTTATTAAAGCGTTTAGAACAGCATATTTGGTGGAGCTCACAAAAACACGTCCTACCTCCACGAGGTGCACTGCGCCAATCCTACAGTAACAACATCATCAAACGTCATATCAAGGCCTTTTCTAATGAGCAACAAGTTTTTGACGATTTGACGGAGAATTACATTCGGACAAAATTTACACTTTTTGACCAAAATCATGGGTTAACACCCAAGACAAATGCAAATTTATCACAAATCTTAATAAGAAATTTATCTAATCTAGAAAGACATCTTTTTTACCTAAAACACCATCAAACATCATATCAAGGCCTTTTCGAATGAAAAACAAATTCGAAGAATTTTCAAGTTTTTGACCAAAATGAGGGGTATATGGGTTAACCCCTAAGAACAATGAAAATATTTCGACTATCTTATAGTAACATTTTTAAAGTCTAGAAAGGCTTCTTTTTTAACTAGAACATCATCAAACATCAAAGCAAGGCCCTTTTCAAAGAGAAACGAACGCCGAAGAAATCTTACATTTTTGACAAAAATCATGGGTTAACCCTTTAGAAATTGCAAATTTTCGCGAATCTTAAAGTGACATTTTTGTAGTCTAAAAAGACTTATTTTTTTACCCAGACCACCATCAAACCTCATATCAAAGCAGTTTTGAAAGAGAATTGACTGCGGAAAAAATTGAAGCTTTTTGACCAAAGTCATGGGTTAATACGCTAGAGAAATACAAATTTTTACACCAATCTTGGTAAGAAATTTATGTAATCTAGAAAGACTTCTATTTTATCTAAAACACCATCAAACATCATATCTAGGCCTTTTTGAAAAAGAAACAACTTCGGAGGAATTTTCAAGTTTTTGACCAAAATCTTGGGTTAAACCCTTAGCCTTTTTCAAATTTTTTACCACATTCATAGGTTAACCCCTTAATGCCAATATTTCGACTATCTTATAGTAACATTTTTGTAGTCTAGAAAGACTTCTTTTTTTAACTAGAACATCATCAAAGATCAAACCAAGGCCTTTTTGAAAGAGAAACAAATTTCGAGGGATTTTCAAGTTTTCGACCAAAATCATGGGTTTACCCCCTAAAAGAATGCAAATTTTTGGCGAATCTTACATTTTTGACATTTTAGACATTTTTGTAGTCTAGAAAGACTTCTTTTTTTTATCTAAAACACCATCAAACTTCATAGCAAGGCCTTTCTAAAAAAGAAACAAATTCGGAATAATTTTCAAGTTTTTGATCAAAATCATGGGTTGACCCTTAAAAAAATGCAAATATTTCGACTAACTTATAGTAACAGTTAACCGCCAGGAAAATGCCAGTATTTCAACTTTCTTATAGTAACATTTTTGTAGTCTAGAAAAACTTCCTTTTTTTACTAGGACATTATCAAAGATCAAACCAAGGTTTTTTTTGAAAGAGAAACAAATTCTGAAGGGTTTTCAAGTTTTTCACCAAAATCATGGGTTAACCCCTTAGAAAATGCAAATTTTTCGCAAATCTTAATAAGAATTTTTGTTGTATAAAAAGACTTCTTTTTTATAGTAACATTTTTGTTGTCTAGAAAGACTTTTTTTTTATCTAGACGAGCATCAAACATCATATCCGAGCGGTTTTGAAAGAGAATTAAATTCGGAAAAAATTTAAATTTTTTTGACCAAAATCATGGGTTTACGCCCTAAAAGAATGCAAATTTTTGGCGAATCTTAATAAGACATTTTTGTAGTCTAGAAAGACTTCTTTTTTATCTAAAACACCACCAAACTTCATAGCAAGGCCTTTTAAAACAGAAACAAATTCAGAATAATTTTCAAGTTTTTGATCAAAATCATGGGTTGACCCTTACAAAAATGCAAATATTTCGACTAACTTATAATAATTGTTAACCCCCTAGAAAAATGCCAATATTTGGATTATCTTAAAGTAACATTTTTGTAGTCTAGAAAGACTTCTTTTTAAACTAGGACATCATCAAAGATCAAACCAAGGCCTTTTTGAAAGAGAAACAAATTCTGAAGGGTTTTCAAGTTTTTCACCAAAATCATGGGTTAACCCCTTAGAAAATGCAAATTTTTCGCAAAGCTTGATAAGAAATTTTTGTTGTCTAAAAAGACTTCTTTTTTATCTTAAAACCCATCAAACATCATATCAAGGCCTTTTTTGGAACAGAAACAAATTCGAACAAATTTTCAAGTTCCCTGACCAAAATCTTGGGTTAACCCCTTAGGAAAATGCAAAATTTTCAACTATCTTATAGTGATATTTTTGTAGTCCAGAGAGACTTCTTTTTTATCTACAACATCATCAAACATCATATCAAGGCCTTTTCGAATGGGCAACAAGTTCGGAGGAATTTTCAACTTTTTGACCAAAATGAGGGGTATATGGGTTACCCCCTAATAAAATGCAAATATTTCGACTATCTCAAAGTAACAATTTCGTAGTCTAGAAAGACTTCTTTTTTTACCCAGAATACCATCAAACATCATATTAAGGCCTTTTTGAAACAGAAACAAATTCGGAAGAATTTTAACTTCTCACAAAACAAAGAAACAGTGCGCGATCGAAAATAAGACCTTACTCGCGCAATTACCATATTATAACTGTAAAGTCCTGACTTCTGCCCACCCACAGTTTAATAGTTTAATTGATGATAATCGACCTTCTAGAAAATTGCTAGATTCTCTCAGTAGTCTCTACGACCTTAGTGTATTCCAGCTAAACTCTCTTGATAAACATATTGATCCTGATATAAATCTCACCTCAAACAAAATACGCTCAAAATATTATTCCCCACACAGCTTTGCGCAGTTTATTGACAGCAAACAGTTGCAATCAAAAATCTCCTTTTTACATACAAATATACGTAGCTTAAAGAAAAATTTTGAAGAATTTCAACATCATGTTTTAAGTGAAATGAATTTCCGTTTTACTATTATTGGTGTAACAGAAACTCGTATATGCGATCGTGAATGTAGTTTTAATTTTGTACCAGAATTACCAGGATACTGTTTTGAATCGGTCCCAACACCTTTATCTGCCGGTGGTGTTGGCCTGTTCATTGATCAAAATTGTAAATACCGCGTCCTTGAACGAGTCTCCAATTCTTGCTATCAAGCCCTATGGATTGAACTTCATCTGCCTAACAATAAGAAATCTGTATGTGGTGTTACTTATAGGCAACACAATAACGCTAATGAGTTTCTAGAATACTTGACAGATTTTCTTGAACGCCAATGCCGTCAAAATTAAAATATTTATCTCATGGAAGACTTCAACATAGATCTGTTAAAATATGAAACTTGTAGTTACACACAAACCTTGCTCCAAACAATGCAAAGTTTTTCAATGTTCCCAGTGGTTGATAAGCCGACTAGAGTCTATGGTAATTCTGCAACTTTAATTGACAATATTTTCATAAATAATCCTGAGAATAATATAGTCAGCGGCAATATCGTGTGCGATACAACAGATCACTTCTCTCAGATGTGCATATTAACGTCGCACTGTAACCCATTCTTTCCAAACAACAAAACTAAGGTTCGTGACTATTCTACCTTCAATGCAAAGTCTTTCATTGACGACTTGCAGAATATTAATTGGAATAATATTTGCAAACATATCGATGCCAATCAATCGTTCTCCAGGTTTTACAAATGCGTCAACAAGACAATTAACAAACACGCTCCTTTAAGAAGTATATCCAATCGTAAACAAAAATTCCTTGCTAAACCATGGCTGACTGCGGGTTTAAGAAAATCAATCAGGGTAAAGAATAACCTCTTCTATACCTCAGGCCGTGACAAATACAAATTTTACAGAAATAAAATCAGTTATCTTACGAGATTAAGTAAAGCGAACTACTACCAAAGTTTCTTTGATCTCAACATATGTAATATGCGTCAAACTTGGAAAGGAATTAACGAGCTAATTGGAAACTGTAAAAAGAAAAACAAGCGCAACTCAACTAACTCTATTCGCTCAAACCCGAATGAGGTTCCAACTAGTGACCCGAAGGAAATAAGCAATATTCTTAACAAATATTTCGCCACTGTTGGGAGCAAACTGGCTTCTAAAATTCCTCAGACCATAAATACATTCTATGATTATTTAGATCCGCCACTTAATCGCACTTTCTTCTTTGATCCTATTATTCCGGAAGATATCAATTTAGAAATTTCAGTTTTGCAAGACAACAAGGCCCATGGTCTCTACTCATCTCCAGTTAGGCTGCTGAAATTAGCAAAAGGGTCATATCCGTACCTCTAGCCACGATTTTTAATCAGTCTATTTGCTCAGGGATTTTTCCATCTAAACTAAAGTGTGCTAAGATTATCCCGATATTTAAGGACGAAGATGACACGCTGCCCGAAAACTACCGACCTATTTCTCTGCTCTCGATTTATAACAGGATTTTTGAAAAACTTATGTACTCCAGAGTTACCAAGTTTGTCAAAGATTGCAACATTCTCTATGATCAGCAATACGGTTTTCGCAGTAAGCACAGTACTCAGCATGCTGTACTTGATATTGTTAACACAATTCTCCAAAACATGGACAACGGTAAATTTTCGTGCGGTGTTTTCATCGATCTCAAAAAGGCTTTTGATACTGTTAACCATGAATTTTGTTAGCTAAACTTGAAAATTATGGTATTAGAGGTGTAATAAACTCCTGGTTCAGATCATACCTGACTGATCGGAAGCAAACTACGGAAGTTAATAATGTTGTGTCTGAGGCTGAAACGACCTTGTGCGGCGTGCCACAAGGCTCAGTCCTCGGACCACTCTTATTCCTACTGTACATCAATGATATTTACAAGTCCTCTTCGTTATTTGCCTTTTATCTATTTGCTGACGATACTAGTATAATACTTGCAAATAACAACCTAAAGGAACTCGAAACACTTGTTAATCGCGAGCTTGGCAACGTCAACGAATGGCTAAAGGCCAACAAACTGTCCTTGAACATAAAAAAATCAAATTTTGT